CAACGCGGGCCGAGGAAGGTGGCCAGTGCCGGCAAAGGGCGGTCCCCGCGTTTGCTGGGCCTCCTCCGTGCTCTGGGGACGCCGAGGCGGTAGATTGTGATGAGTGTGTGGTGAAAAAGAGAGAGCTGTGCTAGCCTGCGTCTGAGGGCTCACAGGCTGCCGCCGGCTGCTCTCGGAGGCTTCTCCGATGCCTCCGTTGGTTTGTAGCCTCTTGCCAGGTAGGGTAGATGTTTGCATGGGTGTTGAGTAGTGCCTGGCGTGCTCCCAAATAACAGACGGAGAGGTGAGTTGCATGAATCCGGAATAAAGGACATATTGAAGAAGGTGAGTGATTGTTAGTCCCGGAAGGGATTTTTCTGAGTGACTCCGAGAGCACTACACCATGCATGTCATCTACTTGCTCGTGTTTCACAGCTGAGGCAGTAAGACCTGGGCGGTACAGATTTCAAAAGCTGCTGATACATCCAAAAGTATTAGTTTAGGTGTCTGATCTGTGACCCATACTTGCAGGGAAGGACCAACTTGTAGATCCAGACCAGTTATCTCCAGATTGGAGTCAGTAGCTTGACTGAAGAAGCAGGTCACTGTGACTAATGCTATGACTATTTCACTTCAATTTTTTCAATAATCTTTCCCAACGAACTCAGAGATTGCGACGTGGGTCAGTTGGCAGGTTTCTGATACGAAAAGATGGTTCACCTTCCTCTAGATGGAAGGGAAGCTGTGTTCGAGCTTTACTCGGTTTGAAGCTGCGCCAGGGCAGGTTTAGGCTAGACATTAGGAAAAACTTCTTCACCGAAAGGGTTGTCAGGCTCTGGAATGGGCTGCCCAGGGAGGTGGTTGAGTCCTCATCCCTGGAGGTATTTAAAAGAAGGATAGATGAGGTGCTTAGGGACATGGTTTAGTGGTGGGATGTCAGGGTTAGGTTAAAGGTTGGACACGGTGATCTCAAAGGTCTTTTCCAACCAAAGTGATTCTATGATTCTATTCTATGATTCTACTTGTTACGAAAGCATACACCCCAGCCAGTGGTTACCACCCACTGTCCTCCTGTTTGCTTTTACATGTGTTCATGTGGCTTGTACACAATTGACTGCAATCCTTCCTTTCTGCCAGGAAACCAGTTCTGAAAGTCTCTCTCTGTGTGGATTTCAGTGTCTGTAATTCATGACTGGTTTTTTTCCCATGATGACAAACTTCTGGAGAAGTCCCCTATCCTTTCCCTTTGAACGTGGCCACAGCTTCTTTACTTCCCATGGTGGTACAGACCCAGCTTGAGCAGTGGGGCCATGCAGTTCTGGTCCTTTAGGCAGTGTCAGTTATAACTTTGGTTCATGGATAAGCGGCCTGGAGCTCTCTAAAACATGTCCCAGAAACAGGTTGTGGGTTGCGGACCTTTAGGATTTATTTTCAGGTCTTCAGATGACTTACCGTTGACTGCAGTTTCATCAGTTATATATTATTTTATGCAACAGCAATCCCAAGATTGCAGCATGCAAAAGACATTCGTCCTCAGACAAACATTTGTATTTAAGGCAGGAAGAGAGACAAGGTTTGGACAAGCTTAGACTTGCAATTTGCAAGAAGAAAACCACTAGGCCAATGTTTTTTCCTAAAAGATTTTTCTTCCCCTCTGAGACTCCATCCTCAGTTCTACCAGATGTTTCACAACAGTTCTCTGTCAGTGACATCATCTGTGTAGACATTTGTATAATATGCTGTCATTGGTGTAACTAGCTGGTTTTAGTTGATCTCTCTGCACTAAACTTATAAGGGAATAGTTTTCTTGCAGTTTTCAGTTTCAGCTCCCAGTTCTTGCAGACCATACTGTGAAGACTGATTTAAATCTCATTACACATATAGCAGCCAGCCAGGTGAATGAAAGGGCTCTACCTAAGTAAAACTACCTTGTAACTGTAGCTTTAATATTGTAATTTACTATGTGATATTACTCTCTCTAAAGCCATGTTCAATTAACTGTAAGACCAGAGCTCTGTCTTTGCTTGGCTTGTGTTGCAGAATAGTATGGTGCTTTCTGCTGCTATCTTCATCACGCTGATTGGCCTGATCATATATCTGCACTTCGTGAAAATTGACCAGGAATCCCTACTGGTGGGCCGAGTGAAGGACGTGGTTATCAATGAAGCCATCCATATGGTAATCATATGCAGTCTTTCTTCTTGTGTATCTGTGGGCACGCTCCCATCCAGCACATTTTCCTGAGCGTGATTTACCAGAGCAATTAAACACAGCACCATCCATTGCTTTACTGACAGCAGGAGCTTTGTGTCAGATTTCTCTCTTTATTCTCTTTTCTCTTACCTTTAAAGGAGAACTCAAGCCAAAAAATAAGCTCAAAAAGCCAAATCCATCTCTCAGATAATGCCACTGACACTGAGCTAGTGGTTTTAGCTCTTTGTGTTGTACTGTTTGTACAAATCCTGATGCCAAACTCCGTAACTGGTCAAGACAGAGATAAGATAGACAATGCAAGAGATTATTTTTCGTGTTGCAGGGGTTTTCTGCAAAGCTCCTTTAGTAAAGCAGACCTTACCCTTCCAGCACGTGTGTGTTGTTTTCATGTTGAAAATTGAATAGAAAAAAACACAGGTAAAAGAGGAAAGCTGTAAATTTGTAGCCTTGGCTGTGGCCTGGGGTGATTGGCCTTCAGCCCGAGGACTTGAAACGGATCCTCTTTCTGTGATAACTCCAGGCACTTCGATAGCATTTTCAAACGCCGATGCTTTTGTCTGTTTGTCTTGTAGCAGAAAGTTATCTACTACCTGTGCATCCTCCTTCAGGACCCTGGAGATCCTCAGGGAGTATCTGAGGTCGTGCCGCTCTTTCAGGTGAGTTTTACTGAATGGTGGAGAAATCCCGATCTGTGGTCTGTGTGTGTGTGCCAGTTGTCTAGGCATATCTTTATTCCACCCCAGGCAGCTGCTTACCATTGCCTTTCCCTGACTGGGCCTTCAGGGTGGGTCTCACAGAATTGTGGAATGGGTGGTATTAGAAGTCTCATAGAAGTACACGCCAGGGATGGTTTTTTTCATTTGCCCTCCATTCAAACAACAGGGAGCTGTGTAAATCTGAACCCAGTCAGGTGTTTGCATGAGCTAGAAGTCTTTGGCTCACGCAGGGTCCTGAGGACTCATACAACTTTCTGTGTAGTCTTATGCTCAGTGTTACCATCATAGCTATGGCATTGTGCTACAGTTGATTTTTCTCTCAGCTCTGTGTGCCAAAAGGGCTCATAAAAACCTGCTTGGCATTAGAATGACTTCCCCTGTCTCACCCGTTGACAAAGATCACAGTACAAGCTGTGAGCAGTTTGCTTAATGTATAATAACTTGTTTGCTTTACCGTTACCCTGTCTCCCCTTTCTCTTCTCTTGCTAACTTGTTCTGACTGTTCATAATCCCATTTTGGGGATGGATTTCCTTTCTGCGTGTATGCACCTAACACAACAATCCCTGATCCTTGAGCGGTGGTAGGCAGTACAGAGGTACCTCACATCTTAAGACTGGTGAGGTTTATAGCCCTCTCTGTCCTTCTTAATTCACCTGCTGCTGGTGACTTACTATGTTGTAGTCCACATCTAGTTTATGACTGGATACAGTTAGTCTTCAGCTGAATACTTACGGGTATAAATAGACTATTCCATTGATGTCTGCTGCTAACTCAGTCCCACAGTTGTAAAGTTGTTTACTAACAGTAATATAAATTAAGCACTTCACACATAGTCAAGGCAAAAAAATCGATTTGCTGGAAATCAACAACTAATAAATTCCAGAGAGCTGCAATCAGGAGCCTTGTTTTAGTTATACATGTTCCTTTCCAGCTTCAAAGAGGCTGCCTGGCATTTGTGTAGTGTCTCTTTTTTTTCTAGCTCGACTCCAAACAGTTCTATTTTCATGGAAATACCTTAGCATTGGTAGAGTTGACTCCACCAGCAAAGGAGGTACAGAAAGAGCTGTGTCAGTTTGCAGTTCATTACCTGTCAGTAATTCTCACTTTAACGTGCAAGTTAGTATGTTACTTAGTTTTGAAGGAGCAGTAATTAGTAACTTTGCTACGTCTCCTTCATTGGGTTCCTCTAAGTTATGTCAGCCTTCAAAAATATAATTTACCGTGTCACTGAGCCCAGGAGCACTTCTGCGCTGAATTGACCTATTGTTCTCTTAAGCAACACTTGCAAGGAGAGAGGCGTTTGATGGACTTTACACGGTAATGCTGTTTTGGGAGCAAAAAAGTCATGGGACCACAGGGACTGTGGGACTGAGAAACTTTCACCTCCTTGCTGCTTTTAATCTGGTCCAGGTTAGAAGTGATGGAAAACCATTATACTTTGACCACCATTCACTGTTTGTGTGAAATGAATTGATGCTTTCAGTTAACCTCCCGTTGTCCTTTTGTTGACAGTACTAGCAGAGGCCAAGGGCCAGGTGTCTGAATTCCCTGTCGTGAGGGTAGATTTTTCAGGATGGAGGCCTTCTAGGATGGTGGAGTAGTGTATGGGAATCTGCTGTTTGTTAGGTCTCTAGAAGGAGTATGGCCTTGTAGATAGTTTAATGGGTTGGGAAGTGTGGATGTTCTTCCATGCTGTCACTGTGAGCTGAGAAAGGGGAGGATTTCTGGTTTGGTGAGAGATTCAGGCTAACTGCAGAATGGTCCTGCATGTTTTGACCCGACAGCTTCAGGGACTGGCCATTTTTCATCACCGAGCAAGTATGGCTTATGGAATGGCTTTGCCTTCCTGTATCACCAACTTGCATCAAACACCTCCTGAAGTTTGATGGATTATTTGTCAGCAAACGTGTGAAAGGGAAATCTATTCTCCATTGATTTTAATGTGAGAAAGCTAATTAACTACAGATATCTTGCTGTTGCATTCCTTATACATGCATGCTTCTGTGATAGTCAGCTTTGTGTCAACCTTTCTTTGCCTGACAGTCTCACTAGTGGGAAGTTAAGCTTTCCAGCTCTTTTACAGCCAGTTCACAGCCTGATTCTTGTTGTTTGACTTAAATTCTAGAGCTCCAAGCCACGTTTGGACTGCTTGATAGAAGTGTACAAAAGTTGTCAAGAAATCCTGGAGCAGAGGAAGACAGCTCCACAATCAAGTGGAATAAAATAGTAAAAAAACCAAAATCAAAGCAGAAAACTTGCAGCGGGACTCGGAGACACATATGGAAAAGCAAGCAAAACTGCCCCACGGCTTTTCTTAATTAGATGAGTAGAAAGCAGTGCAGCAGTACGACGATGTTAGGGCTAAAGGCCTGCACAGACTCACAGAGTTGTTACAGAAGATGTCAGTTCAAACACAGAAGCGAACCTTGAAATTCTCTGCTATGAAGACAGGTGAGCAGAACTTTTAGGCTCAGACAGAAAAGGTTTTTTCCTTGCCTCTCCAGAAAATAATTATGGGGAAATAGGGCAAAGGAGGCAAGAACATGCATCTAACGTTTACTCTTCTGTGGATCTGAAAGTTATGATAAACTCATAATGTAACCTTGGCCAGACTGCCAAAAATATGCATTTTTTTGTTTCTATTTAACCCTTTGTTTGAAAACAGCATATACCACTGTAAATATGAAATCTGATATGTGGGCTGGGATGGTAACTTCCTGATCCACAGGAGCATTTCAGAAAGAAAATAACAGAAAATTAAAATATACTGTTGTGTTTAATTATGTTTAATGAAATAAACATAGGAGAGCAGACAGTGACCTCGTCAGGGATCTGCTTGAAAGAGTCCCATGGGATGGAGCCCTAGAGGGAAGAAGGGTCCAGGAAAGCTGATTGACAGTCAAGGATCACCTCCTCTAAGCTCAAGAACAGCCTATCCCAAAGAGCAGGAAGTCAAGCAAAAATGCCAGGAAGCCTGTGTGGATGATCAAGTTGCTCCTGGCAGAACTTGAGCACAAAAAGGTGGAAGCAGGGATGGGTAACCTGGGAGGAATGCAGCAACGCTGTCTGAGATGTGGTTAGGAATGCCAAAGCCCGCCTGGAGTTGAATCTGTTGAGGGATATCAAAGGCAACAAGAAGGGCTTCTGTAACTACATAAGTAGCAGAAGGAAGACAGTGAAAATGTGGACCCATTGCTGAATGGGGCAGGGGCATGGTGATGCAGGATGTGGAAAAGATGTGGCATTAAAAAGGCCACCTGAGAACACGAGGAAAATGTGTTGTTGAAAATGATTGTAATGACTATGTGAATAAAGTTTTATTGATCTCTGCTCTCAAGAGTAACTTAAGGTTGGGAAATCTTTGTTGATGAGCTAAAAATTACTGTAACTTTTACCTGATATGTCTCTTTTTTTCTTTTTTTTTTTTCCCCATGACTCCTTAGTAATAGCACTGAGACAATTGAAATGTCAAAACAATAGCTAAACCAGCAAGGTGGCAGGAGCCTAGGGGTCATGCTTAATTTGCATATGATGCTGTACTATGCTTGTCTATATAATCTGTAATTAAAACATGGCAACATACCATCATGCAATATGGTAGAGATAAGGTGACCTTTTTTTTTTTTCCACAGTGCCATGAAATTTGAAAGCCACAGGTTCGCTCATGTCACAGGAAGTATTCTGCTTGTCCAAATGAAAGGCAGCAGCTTGGGGATGTGCCACTAGCTTTGGGGTAATGTTGTCTAGGTTAATTAATTTCTTACGGTTTTATTTCTCATAAATACTTTAGATGTTGGGGTTGGCCAGATTTTTAATTCCAGTGCTGCCTTAATGTAAGTTGGTAGGTCTCTCTGAAGTTAGTGAAGCTCCACCCTGATGCAAACTGGGTTTGGTTGCAAGTCCAGGCAGAACGGGGAAGAGTGGGTGTTGGGGCAGAAATTGGCTAACAGCAGCAGCGGCAGGCCCTGGGAGCATGACTGCAGTGTAAATGACTACAGCGGAGGTCCTGTGGCTAAGAACCTCATGGTACACTTGAGTTGCGCATGGCTCAGGGCGTGGTTCAGCCAGGCTGTGTTTCTTCATGAGGAGGAGAAACAGTCAAGGCCCTTGAAGAGCACTATAGCAGAAGGAAGATTCGCTAAGCTGTGGGGAGAATGTGTCAGAAAATAAATTATGTCTCAGCAGAGTGGACAGAGTCTTGAGCTTAAGAGTGTGTTGACTCAGCTGTAAAAATCCCGCTGCTGTAAAAAGCCTGAGAATGTGCACTGAAGAAGTGACCAAGTAGCTGTGTCACAGGAGGAAGTCCGGGAGATTGTTTTAGCTGTCTTTTGAAGGAGTGAACACCCTGTGCCCACAGGAGTGTGCTTGAGTCATCCACTAAAGTGAGCAAAGATCACCAGAGAGAAACAAGGAATTGGATGAGGGCAGGTATGTGCCTTGATACCAAACACAGACTTTGTCCATCAAGACTATTTTGGCTTTTAAAATAGTTTCTTTCATTCTGTGAATAATAGTTTAATTCACAATAATTGCATTTTATTAAGAACAAACAGAAATCTCACACTGTCTCCCAGACAGCCTTTTACATACACACAGCAGTTAGGAAAACAAAGGCTTTTGTCATCTCGTTCTATGCTGCAGCAATAGTCATTGCCAAAAGCATTGATAAAAATTGCTTTCTCTACTAAAGAATCATACAAAATAGGTACCTACAGAGGGTTGGCTGGTTGGTTGAAGTCAGGTAAGCTATAAGTAGGAGGTATATGTGCATCCATCAGAGTGGGGTGGTCCCTGAAATACTCAAGTATTGGTGAATATTTTTAAGAAATAAGTAAGGAAAAGAAGGTCTATGTGCCATGCTTCTCAATTTAAAGTGCAGTTACAGCAGAAAAGACAGCTCTTGCTTATTCAACATCTTTGCTTCCTGTTTGCCCTGGTACAAATCTCTAAGGACGCGTTAGCACTGTAAGGTTAAGTACAGCCTCTCAACTGGGGGTTGACTAGATGACCTCTAGGGGTCCCTTCCAACCCAAAACATTCTATGATTCTATGAACTGTGAACTGGAGACTTCTATGCCTCAAGCATCCCCATCACTGATGACAGCTCAGCTTGTTCTGAAGCAGCTTTGTTAGTGGTGGGATACAAGAAGCAGGCTGCCAAACAGACCTTTGGATACAGGAGGAATTGTTAGGCACAGGTGAATGAGTGAGGAAAAATAATGCTCTACAAACTGATGTAGTGATACTGAGTTCACTCTGTGCAGGGGGGGTTGGACTAGATGACCTCTAGGGGTCCCTTCCAACCGAAAACATGCTGTGATTCTATGTGAGGGAGAGAAAGAGAGGAAATACATACTACTGACCACTCTGTCAGGAGATATAGTCACTTAAAAGTATCTAAGGAAAAAAAAAAGAAGAAACTAGATACCTTCTCAAAATTGTTTTTGGCTCAGAAAGCTTCTACCCTTTTCCATAACTTCAAGGGATGGTCCTTAAATTCATAACAAGTGGGTACATTACAGTACATGCAAATCAGGTCTCTGTTCATACAGTCTTTTCCTGGTTTATGTCTGCCATATTGCTTCCACAACCCACCGTGGAGTGGTTTGGTTTTTTGGTTTTGGTTTTTTTTAATGTTACAAAGATGCTGGATTTACAATGATTTTTGTCTGTCCCATGTTCTTCTCTTTTAATTTGTGGCTTTGCACTCACCGCAAGCTTGAAAAAAAAACTTGAAGTATCAGCTCCACTGGGTGCGTTAGTTTCAAGGTTGGTGGCAGGTACTAGGGAGTAAAAACACTGGTATGGTTGGTTTGTTCATTTGCAAATAGCTTTGGTTTGCTATTGCCAAATTCTTTCTAATGGTTGGATTCACACTGTTTTAATGTGGCCAAGTTGCCCATGAATGCATAATCATTATGAAGTTGCACATGGTACTTCTGAAAGTGCAGTTATTCTTCCTTAGCTTTTTTAGAATGCTTATCAAAATAGCTGAACTCAAGCCAGGTAGATTTTATTTTTTTTTTTCAATAAGAATTGCTATTTTTCTTTTATTTGTTTTAAAATCCGTTAACCTTCTCAGTCATAACAAAGTCCCTTTGAAACAGATCCACAAAAAAAAAAAAAAACACCAAACCAAAAGCCACCCCATTCTTTAGGGAAGTCAGAAGAACAATACTTGTGTACATATTTGCTAACTACCTCCTCCTTGCTATGGTAGCATGAAGGAAGCAGGAGTTTGAAAGGAGCAGCTTCTGTCAACTGAGAATGGCAGAGCTGGTTTGGGAGGATCTGTTCCAGTTGCTGAAAGACAGAAAAAGTACAAAATTCGCTTGCCTTGTCTTCCTTTGTCTGAGATTATGTGCAGGTTCAAAACATCTACAACAGTGATTAACAGAAGGAGTCTTTGAAAGTGCTTGTCTGATGATGGATCAGGTGACACATTCAGCCCTGCAGCAGAGACCTAATGTTCGTCTATAGCATAGAACAGCATCGACTCCTGAAATGTAGGAGCTGGGGCATCACACCTGACACTGTTGCAGTCCCAGTCATTCCAAGTCCTCAACATGCAAAGACACTAGGTTTCCACTTTAAATAAAGTTGAGAATATCCATGAGTACCACTGAACTCTTATTCCATACTCCCTATTTCAGGTCTGAAATTTCCCTTCAATTGCATTGTAATTACTCTTGCCAGTTTAGTTCCTCTACCTTCTCAGTGTCGTCTTCCTTTCTTTCACATCTGGAGCAAGGACTTGGAAAGTTTCTCTTTCAGTTTTAGCATCAGTTTCAGGGAGCTGTTGTTACAGCTCTAAGGAAAATTAAATCATTCTCTTGGCTGTGTTAAGCAGTTGCGTAAAAAATGTTACTGTCTCTGCAAAAAGGCTATCTTAATAGTTGTTCTGGGTGTGGCAACATGGAATTTAAACACTGGTAAAACCTTTAATATGACAGCTATTCACAACCAGAGCACAGAGCTGAAGTTATGTCTAAACAACCTGATCAGACTATGTCATGTTAATCTTTACACTCTGGTAATAGCCTTTTCAGCATATATCTAGTTTATGATGCAGCAATACGCAGCTCCTAATGCAGGCAGTGTGCAACAGGATGCATCCTTGTACAGGGTTCATGCCACATGCCACGGTATCCGTTACCACCTGGTTTTGCTTTTAACAGGGCTGTGTGCTCAGCCCACTGCAGTCAGATTCAAGCCTGTATGCCACTCAAATCTGCCTTGCAGAGGTGGAAGTCTCAGTCAGGTAAAAAGTGAGCAAGTTAGGGACTGATGCAAGCAGAAGATTATTGGAAATAAAGGTAATAACTGAAAGGTGCTATGATGAGGAAAAGGGGCCACTAGGAGTTTTAAGAGCTGGACTGAGATTCCAGACATAGGGTGTGCGGTGATCTAAAAGCAGGTGCAAAGCTGGAAATGGGGGGGATCAAAGAAAACTTAGGTGCTTGTAAGAAAAGTGGCAAGATCAGGGGATGGAAGAAGAATGGGTGCAAGGAAAGAGGACAGATGTAATGTGACAGGAGCACTGTGCAGGCAAATGACCTGAGGCATGGTATTTTGGATGGAGTGTGGCATGGAAAGGGAACTCCTGCACAGACCCCCAAATCATCATTTTTTTAAGAGAAAAGACACTGCCTCAACCCACACTAAGGAACTTTGTCTATTATCATGGAAGAAGAATCAGAACCTGCATTAAAAGTAAGGTGTGTAA